CATAGGCACCAGGAAATCAACACTAATGAGCGAGTATTGGCTGAAGAAAACAAAGCCTCTAGGATGTTTTCCGTTAGGAATCTAGGAAAAACCGCTGACAGTTTGGTGATCAACGGGAAGGTCGATGGTAGAAAAATTCGAATGACTGTGGATATAGGCGCTATGGTTTCGTTGGTGCGGACTAACTCAGTGCAAGGATTGAAGATGATGCCTCTTAGAAGAAGAGTGTATTTACGTACAGTTACGGGGGAAATGGCCGTTGTACGGGGAGAGGCTTTCATGGAACTGGAGTTAGGGAATTTGAAGTTTCGGCATAGCGTTTTAGTGGCAGACATTGAAGATGATTTTATCATGGGTACGGATGTGATCAGTCAGCATGGTTTTTCGTTCGATCACCATAGAAACATCCTGAAAATCGGAAATGAGGAATTTGCTGTATCAAAAGAGAAGAGACCAGGAAATATGGAAGCAAGATCAGCGGAAATTGTGATGATACCTGGTGATACCAAGAAGACTGTGTTCGGGAAAATGGAGAAAACCTCTGGATGCCGTGTAGGACGGGTACAAATTATCGACAACGAGCCAGATCAACGACGAGCTACCTTGGACAAAAAAATGAAACATCGCGAAAGCACTGTCAGAGTAAGGAATTTTACGACCACACAATTAAGGAAAGATCAAATGGAAGATCCAGACATCGGAGCAATACTACGGCTCAAGGAAGGTAACGGCGAGAGACCACCGTGCCAGGATATTGCAAAGCTCTCTGGACTCAGTGGAATTCACTGGTGATTGAGAATGGATTGTTAAAGCGCACGTGGGAAAGTGCGGATGGCAGGACAGTAACAACTCAGTTACTGGTACCAAGGAAGAAAGTTACCTAGGTATTGGAAGAAATTCACGGTGGTAAAACTGGAGCCCATCTTGGGGTAAACAAGACCTTGAGCAAGCTGAGAGATCGCTTTTACTGGGTGGATTATTGCGAAGATGTCAAGAAATGGTGTCGACAATGTAAAATTTGTGCAGCCAGCCAAGGACCAAGCACTCGATCTAGGGGAAAACTAAACAATATAACGTTGGACTGCCATTCGAAAGAATCGCTGTTGACATTGCAGGCCCATTCCCTGAAACGCACAAGGGCAACAAGTACGTTTTAGTGGCGATGGATTATTTCAGTAAATGGCCAGAAGTTTTTGCCATTCCAAACCAAGAAGCATCGACTGTAGCTGAAGTATTAGTCAATAATGTCTTCAGTAGATTTGGAATTCCTTTAGAGCTTCACACTGACCAAGGAAGGAACTTCGAGTCAAGACTGTTCCAGAAGATGTGTGATCTGCTTGGTATTCACAAGACTAGGACAACAGCTTTACATCCGCAGTCTGATGGGATGGTCGAGAGATTCAATAAGACCATTGAAGAACATCTCTCGAAAATGGTGGATGAACATCAAAGAGATTGGGATCAGCATATACCACTATTCCTAATGGCATATAGAAGTGCAGTTCACAACACCACCGGACTTTCACCATCGAAGATTTTATTTGGTCGAGAATTACGGTTGCCTTGTGACTTGGTGTTCGGATCACCAGACGACAGCACCACGAACGTAGAGGACTACGCGGATGAACTGAAGGAAAGGTTATTGGGAATTCATAAGGCCGTGAGAAGTAAGATTACGCTAGCCAGTGACCGGATGAAAGCTCGTTACGACCTCAGAGCTAATTCTACGGGATTTCAACAGGACGATAGGGTATGCTTGTATAACCCACAGCGCAAGAAAGGAAGGTCCCCAAAGTTAACTCCAGCATGGGAAGGTCCTTATACAGTCATCAAGAGGATAAATGATGTTGTGTACCGGATTCAGCGCAGCCCTAGAAGTAAGATGAAAGTAGTTCATCTCGATCAATTGAAGAGATACCAGACAGGAAACCTTGATCGGGACGATCAAATTTGAGAAGGGGGCAATGTCAAGATCAAGGTGTATTACTGGTTGCATAACTGCATTACTGCTACATAACCGCAACGTGCATTGAGGAACCTAACAGAAAGTAAAAGAAAATTCCAGAATTCTTTAGAAAATTCCAGAAACCATCGCCAGGGGGTATATAAGGCCCGCGCTTTGACAGTTGGACCAGTCTGAAGATAGTCTGAAGTCTAAAGTTTGATAATACCGCGCTTTAAATTGTGAAATACCGTTAGAGTAATAGTAGTTGCATAAATTGTGTTGTAAATAGTATAAGTTGTGTGTGCAGAGTGAGACAAATAAAATCGTTAAGTATTTTATCGTGAGTTTAAATTAGTGGACCCACGGAATCCGTAACAATATAATAATATGCCTTTTAGAAAATGGCTTTTAGAAACATTTAAAATTCTATGTTGTTCCGAAGATATTCGAGAAAAAACGATAATTGGAGATTTCGATTTTACTTTTTTCTGACTTTATTTGACAAGGCATCCTAAATCTAAAAGCACATTTTCATTGGCACTTTTTCTAGCTGCACAACAGTGTTTTCAGATTTGTCATTGCCCTATTTGAAATCTTCAATTTTCATTTCCTATCTCCTGAACCACTCATTAATGTAAATATTTCTAAACGGCATACTATTAGGCACATTAATGTACAACTTTGCCCTAATTTACCCAAATCTTATAATCTCCTATAGTTTTCGAGATCCCAATAATGGGGGGTCGAATTTGAATTACCTTGTATACCGGGTGCGCCTCGAAAGTGGCTCACCCATATAACTTTTTTATTTTTTCAACTAAAAACCGGGATTTGGTACGTTAGTATGTGACATAAATTAGGATTGATTGAAGAATTCAATTGTTTTTGGTCACTTCCTGTTTCCCCGGAAATTACTACAACTTTTGATTTTTAAAGGGCACCCTCGGTATATTTCTACTTTATTCGATAGAAAATGACACTCTGAATAGAATGACATTCTGTATAGCACCTGTTCTGTACCAGTTAACCGAGCTAATACAGGCAAGCCTGGATAGCAAAGAAACGGCAATTTGTGCTTTCTTAGACATTGCAGGAGCGTTTGACAATATACATCACAAGATGGTCAAGCGATCTCTGGAAACAAGAGGGGTGAACAGTACGATATTTTTTTTGGGAAATGCTCTCAACACGGACAACAGAGGCTGAGATAGGCACCAAAACTCTAGTTGTTAAAACAACGCAAGGAACTCATCATGGTGGAGTAACCTCATCCCTACTGTGAAACTTGGTAGTGGATGAACTACTAGACAAATTAACTCAAGCGGGAATACACTGCATAGGGTATGCAGATGACATAGTCAAGATTGCACGAGGGAAACATGAAGGCACCCTGTGTGATATTATCCAAAGAGGACTCCGCATCGCTGAGAGAAGACTGTCGGGGTGAGCATCAAGCAACCACAAAGGCTTTCATGATATGCAGAAGACAGGCGGGAAATAGATAGGGCTGCGCCCCTAACTTTTTGCGCTGGATGTATACCATGATTGAAAGACCCATGATTACGTATATGAGCAGTTTCTTGGTACATAAAACTAGAGCAACGTACAGCAAGGCAAAACCTGTGCAAAGTATTGGAATGCATCTGCATCACAGGTGCCACGAGAACATGTCCAACAGCAGCAATGGAGGTCATCCTAGACCTAATTCCACTGCACATTATCGTCGGTAGTTACGCCAATACGATAATGATTAGAATGGTATTGACGGAAACAGTACTGGGAGAATTTTCAGGTCAGGGGTTTGGAACACCCTCAAAAAGAAAATTCCACTTCTCCAGTGGATGACATACCAAGAATTTTTAAGAAACTTTGAGAAACACCTCACTGACTCACTGTAGTGTATTGAGTAATAAAAAGGATTGGAAGAAACGTTTGCTCAGCATGTAAGACCATACCATAACGTGGTACACTGATGCTTCCAAAACCAAAGCAGGGACAGGGATAGGAGTATTTGGGCCGAAAACTAAATACTCCGAATCAATGGGCACCTACCCTAGCATCCTTCAGGCAAAAATCTACGCTATCGAAAGATGCGTACAATTTATCTTAGATAGGAACTATCGAAAACAGGAAATAGCCATCTTATCCGATAGTTAAGCTTAAGCAACACTAAACGCGATCGTAGTAAGTAACCATCAATTCGAAGTTAGTCAAAGAATGCCTAAAGAAGCTCAACAAATTAGACAAAGAAAATAAAGTTCTCTTACTCTGGGTGCCTGTTCACCAATGGATAGAAGGCAATAAAAAAAGCAAATGATCTAGCTAGAAAAGGAGCGAACACTCCACTAACTGGAGCAGAACCGTTCTGTTTTTCAAGCGGGAACCAACTGAAAGCGGAACTGAAGAACCGGGAATATTCTATCCGTAACCTGGAATGGGTGTCCTCCAACGGACACTCGAAAAAGTTCCTCAGAACTTACCACCGAGAAAAATAAAATATTTTCCTTGATTTAAGTAAAAACAATCTTCTGATTGTCACAGGGTTTCTAACAGGACACTGTCTCCTCAACGAACACCTCAGTAGGCTGAAGCTAAGAAACAACGGGAAATGCAGATTCTGTGGGAAAACGGGGAAACACCAGAACACCTTATCACTAAGTGCACCGAGACGACCATAAGTGCACCATGAACTGTGGTACGGCTGATGTCTCAGATACTGGCTTTTGCTAAAGCCCTGAGACTGTATAATGAGTTATAACTCGTTACAACTCAAGAAAGGGGAACACATAATAAATCTATAAGGTCGCGGTGATTAACTCCCCTCCTAAACATTCTACATTCTACAATTCTGTATCCATTCTGCGGCCAACTAAGATTGGCCGCCAACTGTATCTCAGAAACTACTTATCATATAACTTTAGGAAAATATTTCGAAAGTAGATCAGAAATAAGAGAAATCACTGGAAATTATTTTCAGGTTCGAAAAATATTATTAGCCTGTATTTCTTTCGCCAAATTATAATAGTAAAATACTAACTATATTGTAGAAACTTACCATATTCCAAAAAATCTGACACCGTCTTTTCTTTCCTCAAACTCGAATTGGAACACTCATCATACAAAACTAGCAATACGTCAATTAGAGTTTCTATGCTGAATGCTTGTCCATGAGCCGTTAAAGGCCCTCCCAAATAGAGGGTTTCCAGTTGTCGAAGACGGCACTCCGCCGCAGCCGCAGTAGTATTGCCACCATTCGTATCTCCCATGTTGAATTTAGTTACAATATTAGATTCATAATAATTCCTTATAAGCTAAGGACATTATTAAATCTGAAATAAAAATAAACAAAATATTTATAGTGAGTTACTAAGTATGTACTAATAAAATGTTTATACTAACTTTAAAATATAATAAAATTAACAAAAATAAGTTGAACCATATAATCATAGAATCTTAACAAAAATCAGTGATATACAGGGTGGTCCGAACTGTATTCCGGAAACTTCGGCAGCATATTCTGCAGATTAAAATAAGTAAAAAAGTTCGTATAAATGTATGTCCTAAAATGCGTAATTTCGGAGATACAGGGTGTAGAAGTTTCATTTTTGTTTCGATTTTTTCCAAATAATTTAAGAAGTAACGTCAATATTTGGATGAAATTTGGGTGTGGGGGATTTTGGACATGAGAAATTTGATTTTGATGTCAATATGACTCCTACTTGTAGAGGGCGCCACCTACATATGCTTTAACTGGTTTCAAGAGTAATAACTTTTCGTCCATACCTGTATACTGAGCAAAAAAATATACATTTACAACTTTTTTTACTTAAAAAAGGTCTCTTGGCAAAAATCGCTATGAGTAATGGATCTCGAAATATTTGAAATTTTCAATACCTGTCATCATTGACAAATTAAACATGTTGACTAAATAGTTATTAGACTGAAATCTAAAATTTGAAATCTTTTTGTGCCAAAAGTTCAACAGAAACTGTTTAATCATCATTTTTTCGCAGAAAAATTTATGATTATTTAAAAAAATAAAAATTTATTATTTAGTCAAATACCTCTATTCAACGTGTGCTTATTTTTTGTCAATAATGACATGTATTGACTATTTCCATTTTAAATATCTTGAGAACGGTTGCTCGTAGCGATTTTTACCAAGAGACATTTTTTACGTAAAAAGTCAAGGAAATGTATATTTTTTTAGTCGGTAGTTTTATACAAGTACGGACGAAAAGTTATTACTCTTCAAAACAGTCAAAACGCATGTAGGCCCAACCACCCCCTACAAATAGGAGTCATTTTGACATCAAAATCAAATTTCTCGTGTCACAAAACTCCCAGACACCAATTTTCATCCAAATATTGACGTTACTTCAGAAATTATTTAGAAAAAATCGAAATAAAAATGAAATTTCTACACCCTGTATCTCCGAAACTAAGGCCGTATTCCGTTGCAAAACGAGACCGGTAAACTACGGTAAAGAGCGGTTCCTGAAAAACATCGGTTTGATACGGAACGATTTGGTAAAATACTGGAAACGTCAAATGTTGACGTTTTCTAAATTTCAAAACCTCTATTATAAAATTTATCTTTTATGCATTTTTAATGTATCTATTCTCTGCTTTTACGTTTGCTTCTTCTTTTCAATGGAGTTTAATATTGAAAAGTACTTTATTAATAAACTGTTAAACTCGTTAGACAGCTCAAGTGAAGATTTGTAGGTCCAATATTAAAACAGATCAATAATAAATAAACAAATCTAATCAATATTTATATTTTTATAGCTTACAAAACATTCACGATTACTTGTTGTTCATGTTTTCTTTAAATGTTCCTGACTTTAAGAAACAATGGCTGTGTGATAAGTTTAAATGGTCCTAAAAAGTCATTCTATTTAGTTAATGAAATTTATTTACCTTTACTACCTACCTCCATTGCTTTTGGATGTAAATACAAAATATTATTACAAATTTTAGAAATCAAATGAGAATTCCACTCGAACTTCCAATATTTGCTTGATTTCTGTCATATAAATGACATTGATTGACAAACAAAACCAGAAAAACCAGCCTTCTCGCGCTGGTTAGTTTGGTGACAGTTATAACCGAATTTTTCAGCAACCGTGTTCCGTAATAAGAAAACTTTCAGGAAACCGATTGAAACGGAACCTTTGAAGAACGGAACATAAAACCATAACCAAGGTAAGCAACGTAATACACCCTAACATACACAATACAAGTATGGGGGCGTCAAAAATTAACTAATTATAGAAAGATTAATAAAAGATAGAACATTTCCAAACAGTTATTTTCCAAAAAAATATTTTATCTCAAATTTTAAACTACACCATTTAAAAATTATTTTTACTTCAACCTTCTTAAGCCCAACTAATAATAAACGCCATTAAAAAATGAAGAGTAGAGGCCACGTAAATAACGTCTAGGGCTTGACCTCGCCAAAATTATCATCGATTATCATTCCCAGTCGTCTTTGAAGCCGTTTTTTTTTTCGATCGTATGGTATAACTGCATATTAGAGTCTGAAATTATCCTCGTTTCAATAGGTACATATTTATTTCATCCCTAATAATTTTAACCCGGCTAACTGTCAACTTTAAACCTGTATAATCGCTAGAGACTAAATTGATATATGAACCCCCATTTTTAAATTTCTGATTGACGTTTCAATTGACACATTTAAATTTATGTTATTTATTAGTTATTCTCCAATTGGTTTGGTTTAGAGGTATCTAAAAGAAGGATATTGTGTCAGAACTTAAAATTACTAATAGTGACGGTGACATTATTGTGAATTCCAGAAAAATACTGTAAATAGTTACTTGTGCAGCATGTGGTAGATCTATATCTTACCTATTTTTTTATTATTTGAAATTTTTATACAGGGTGGAGCACCTCATTCGCCTCGGTTGATTATACGAAAACGGAAAGATGTAGAAACAGAATATTTTAGGGGTATAATGTGGGAAAGCTATGTGCATAATTTAAAATTATTTCGAAATGTACAGGGTATATCAGAACTAACATCCAAAGTTATATTTTTTCTTATGAAACACCCGGTATTTTATTTCATTTTTGGATCCTTGAACACAAAATAAGGCATTTATTATAAGAGTTAAATATGTTTACAAGCTTTGGTTTTTGAGATATTTAAATATGCATGCTATAATAAAAAAGATTGTCAACGACCTGTACTGTACATTGCTTTTCAGAATTAATTCTTGTGCTGACTTTTAAGCTAGGCTATTAAGCCATGGAAATAAACTTTACTGAAAAATGTTATTGCTTTGTTTAATGTATACAGGTGTAAAAAACAGCAAAATAAAACACTAAATCACCTTGTAGATATATGGATTTTCTATAAAAGAGCCAATTACGGCAAATTCATTTTCTTCACTTCCAACGACAGGTTGTGCTTCGATTTACTTTAAAAAATAGAGGCATATTGCATTTGAAATAACCAGGTTTTTATCTAAAATAAATATTCAAAATAGACAAGTAATTTTTGGTACACCTGTATAAATTTAAGGAAGCAATTAAATTTGTCTATAAAGTTTATTTCTCTACCTGTCAACTCAGCACAAGAATTACTTCTGAAAAGTAATGTACAGGGCACAGCATGCATATTTAAATATCTGAAAAACCAAATATTTTAAACATATTTAACCCTTACTATAAATGCCCTTTTTAGGTCCAAAAATCCAAAAATGAAATAAAATACCGGATGTTCCGTAAGAAAAAATATAACTTTGAAAATATAACACCCTGTATATTTCAAAATAATTTTAAATTGTGCACATTGCCTTCCCGCATATACCCATAAAATTGTTGTTTCTACATCTTTCCCTTTTCGTGTAATCAACCGAGGCTAATGAGGTGCGCCACCCTGTATATTAGAAATATATTTTTTTAAGAATTTTAATAACTAATAACACTTATTGACAACGTAAAACAAAACCATTAAATTATTGAATCTACCCTACATTATTTTTTATGCTTCTGAAAAATATACAGGGTGGCGCCTCTCATACGACGGCGACGCGGAGGCTGCAAAGAGAACTTACAGCTTGTATTGAAATTAAATGTTGTGAAAATATGTGGGTTGATTTAGAGAATTTTTTTAAATATAGAGAGTCCTACAGGGTGTCCCAAAAAAAGTTACACATCAATGTTTTTTTGTAATGGACCCTATATATTAATTGATTTTCGGATTCTTTTAGAAACATAAAGGTGAGTTTCATTAGAGAATTATATATTATTATTATTATTATTATATAGCTAAAATGTAAGGTTTCTGACATATTTATCAATTTCTAAAAATGAAGGACAAATTTAAAACTTCAATAAACGCTACCTAAATTATAATTTATCCGGTATAGCGTATTATGTAGTTAAAATAACTATTGTACTTTAAGTCAAATTAAAATTTGACCCGAAAAGTTATACAGGGTGAGACAAAATTGACCACTGCACACATTTAAAAGCAAGTTACTCCTTTATTTTAAATAAACCACCGGGTATATTATTTCAATACTTAATGGATAATTCGTATATCTTCAAAATACTATTAAGATTGCCTACTCTTTAAACAACGATTTTCCTAGATATTTTCATTTTTATGATTTTGCGTCAGTAGATCTTTATTATTTGATAAATCTAGGTGGCCGTGATACACCTTATGTTAATTTAACAAAAATTAATGTAGGTATGTAGAGTAAAACATTTTACGGTAACGAAAAGAGACACATTTAAAATAAATTTTACTTATTATAGAATTGAAACTAGATATAAACGTACAATTATGTAACAAAAATTTTCTAGATGTAATCAAATGCTCAAAATTCTTTCATTCCTGTTTGCTGCAAAAAAATGATACTCTTTTCAACAGATCTTTTCAAGTTAAAAGGCATAATATGTGAAGTTCTACTTTGAAAAGCAGCCACAATAATTTCTTTCATGTTAGCAACAATAGTTGGTCGAATTTTAAAAACACTGTCTTTAACATATCTCGATAAAAAAGTCCAGACTAGATAAATCAAGAGCATTTAAAAAACTATTCTATTAATTATTGGTGAATGTCAAAATGTTAAAATCAAAAACCTTACATTTTAGCCATATACTTCTCTAATGAAACTCACCTTTATTTTTCTAATAGAATCCGAAAATCCATTAATATATAGGGTGTTCCATTACAAAAAACACAACTTTGATGTGTAACTTTTTTTGGGACACCCTGTAGAACTCATTATTATTTTCAAAAATAATAATAATAATCATCTCTATTTAGCATATTGCTAGTACAAACAATACAACTAACTTATGCCAAAGGCTATAGAGTAATAAGCATTCACAAGTATTACATACAAGCATTACAAAAACAATTTATACTATTCCTAGGCCTTTAAATAAGTAGACAATTTCTTATTAAAACTTACCAGCGTACCTGCGTTTCTCACTGCGTCGGGCAAGGAATTATACATAAGCATAATAAAAATGCTCTAAACTAACCTACATAATATGTATATACATATTATGTATATAGAATATAATATAAATACATCCAGAGAAATCAGAGTTCATCAATCCTCGATATACATAATTCTATCGACTGAGGATGTTAAAATTGCTGGCTGGTATGTAAGTGAGAAGGAATCACTCAGTGACCACAACTACATCCTTTTCGAAGTAAAGGAGAACAGACAACGTAAGTCGGAGAATATTCCATCCAACGGATGGAACTTAAAAAAACGGGATATGACGAAGTTACAGGAAGCAATTGAGAAAATTCCGATTGAAGGACCTACACCAGATGCAAAATCATTCCATGACAGCCTAGCTGGCATTTGTGACAAATCAATCCCCAAAAAGAGGAATCGCCCTGGTAAGAATCCCGTTTATTGGTGGTCCCAAGAAATAGCTGAGCTTAGAACGGAGTGTACCAGAAAAAGGAGAGCCTTCACGAGAAATAACCGGAGGAATCAAACGGCGATAAACCAGCAACTACAAACGGAGTACAAAGCATCCAAGAAAAGGCTCAGAAATGCCATTAGAAAGGCAAAGCAAGCATCGTGGAAAGAGATTTGTGAAGAAGTTAACACCGACACCTGGGTAAAGGCTATCAAATAGTTATGAAAAGGACTTGTGGATGTCCCCCACAGCCTATACTACCTGCATGCACGATGGACAAAGTGGTTGCGTACCTTTTCCCAATCCACGATAAGGTGTGCTTTGACGTCGTTGAAACCCCTGACTTCGTAGATTTCACTATTGAGGAGATATGTCTGGCCTGTAGAAAACTCAAAAATAATAAGGCGCCAGGATCCGGAAACATTCCACCAGAGATTTTAAAATACCTTGTCGAGCGGAAGGCTCAATATGTCCTAAATGTTTACAATGAACTGGCGAGAATAGAAACTTTTCCGAAGCAATGGAAGCTGGCCCGCTTAATACTCCTGGATAAGGGAAAGAACTCACCCGAAGATCCCTCCTCTTACCGACCTGTATGCCTTTTGGATGTGGAAGGCAAGCTATACGAGCACTTGTTAGTAGCAAGATTCAAAAAAGAGATTGAATACTCAGATGGCCTGGCTGGAAACCAATATGGATTCAGGGAAGGTAGACAAACGGTAGATGCAGTCCTTAAAGTAATCAAGTGGCAAAGCGAGCATGGGACTACTCCTCCCAAAATGAAAAAATATGTGCGGTCATCACACTGGACGTGAAGAACGCATTCAACAGTGCTTCATGGCAGTTAATTCTGGACAAGTTGAGGAGAAGAGGAATAAATGGAAGCCTTCTTGCATTGGTAAAATCATATCTGAGTGATCGTGAGTTGATTGTGCAGTACGAAGACGCAACCAAAAATTTGGAACTGAGTAGTGGCGTCCCTCAAGGTTCAGTTCTTGGGCCATTTCTGTGGAATGTCTTATATGACGATCTATTGAGAACGGAGATGCCAAAGGACGTAACGCTAATTGGATTTGCAGACGACATAGCAATGGTAGCAGTTGATAGGAGTGAGGACTGGCTCATGGAAAAAGCTAATCTGGGTCTAATGAGAGTCTTAAACTGGATGGACAAAAACTGTCTCAATCTGTCACCGGAAAAAACGGAAGCGGTCATCCTGACTAAAAGGACTAAGTTGAAACCAGTGCATTTTAACCTGCTTGGAACACGAATTGTACCTGGTAGATCATTAAAATATCTCGGGGTATGGCTGGACAGCAAGCTCACTTTCTCCATACTCGTACACCATACCACAGAAAAAGCGGAAAAAACAATGTCCGCCCTTTCCAGACCTCTGCCAAATATTGCTGGTCCAAGCAAATCGAAAAGGAAAATACTGGCATGTGTAATGCAACCCCAGACACTCTATGCTGCACCAGTGTGGAACTACGAATAATAAGGTACTTACCAGGAAACTCACCAGAGTTCAAAGGCGAATGTCCATTAGAGTAACTAGGGCCTACAGGACAATCTCAGCTGAGGCAGTCGGAGTGATAGCTGCAATACCACCCACAGACCTCCTTATCAATGAAAGAGCTAACATATACAACGGACAGGACAGAGCCACGGCGCGAAATTCCCTAATGGCCAATTGGCAGGAGCGCTGGAGGACTAGTACAAAAGGCCGATGGACACACAGGATCATCACAAACATTAGCAACTGGCAGAATAGGTGCTACGGGGAGGTCGACCTCTTAGGGCACGGCTGCTTCAATGCATTCCTATATAAAAGAAAAAGAGCAAATACGGAGATTTGTAGATACTGTGAAGCAATAGATGATGCTGAACACACCATTTTTGCCTGTCCTAAATGGCACGACGCAAGAGAGATATAAGATATATGAGAAGGAACTGGGGAGACGGTTTACTCTGGAGAACTTTGCCTTGGACATCATGGGAGAAGAAAATGAATGGAAGATGACCTATAATATTGTACGGACAATCATTAGGACCAAGAAGCAGGAAAAGAGAACTTAATAGAACAAGAAGAATAGTAAGCCAGCTACCACGTTGAAGTAATGCGAGAGCAGTTCCAGCGTGGAGCATACATTGGCAAAGGGGGATTTTTAGTCGGTATAAACCCGACACGGCCCACGACCATCCAACATCGGGTGTCTTTTGAAGATTTTCCCCTCCATAAAAAAAATAATATAAATACTGTCTTATTACACGCTCCTTCCCCGTCATTTAAACTTAAATTAAGTATTATTGCCCTTTCTGATTGTAATTTAGTTGTTTAATTTCCTACTAAGCTTACCATAAGATGTCTGTAATTAAGTAATTGTGATAAAAATCATTTTTAACCATTTTTACACAAAAAAAATAACGTTTTGAATTTGTTAGTGATTGTATTTTATAACCTGACCTCTGTATGACTATATTAGAATTGTTTAACTATTCTGATTGTAATTTGATTATTTTAGTTTTTGGGTCTGAGGATGGGAATTAAATGAATCCCGAAACATGTCGCCCCAATTTTAAATCAAATTAAATTTTGAAATAAACATCCTAAAAGATTGTGGGTTTTTTTGAGTCCCCTACCCCTCGTCAGAGGTTTTACATTAACCTACATACATATGCTCACAAAATTTCAATTTAATAGAAACTGTCATTCTCCTTGGAGCCTCCGCCTCGTATGAGAGGCGCCACCCTCTATAAATAATACTTTATTAATTTGGTATCCTTACAAGCAAATCAAAAAAATGTATTTAGTATGTATAGTATGCCGGCCGTGTTCAAAACAAAACACAAAATAATGTCAATGATTTTTTTTATTCATGTTAATTATTTTTTATTTCAACTTTTTTCTATGGTTTTGTTGTTTTCTTCATCTTAATCTTCTTGTTCATTCTTATATTTTCGCCGTACAATAAAAAAAGCGTCAGAATAGGCTTGGAAGATCACAACTACTTTATATGTATATTATTACACATTACTTTATAATATGATTTCATATGTAAACATATGTGAGAAATGCCATGGATCATGATCATTTGCAAGCCAACTGGATGCCGTTTTTTTTCGATGTTGATAAGAAATTACAATTTATAATATTGATGTTCACACGAGGAATCACACCCTAAAGATGATCCGTGCATTTTTCGAAGACTGTGAATATTAAAATAGGCTGGAATTTTTATTAAAAAATCAACAAGATTATGTGACAAGATTAAGTATTGAAGAAGATAAATAAATTCAAATTAACAAAATATCAGAATGATGTTTGGTACATTTTTTTCTATAGTCTATCCAATGAGAGGATGCATGCATTATGCATTACATACATGACAGTGACAGATGTGTCTGTCATTTTAATACAGAGGTAAATTGTATTTTCTGTCATTTTTTAATGTAGTCTGCCGAAATATTCCCTAGCTTGTTGGATACTAGTAGTAGGCTACTGCTTACAGTGCTTACCACTTACCATACATGATATAAATCCTATAAATCCTAAAGAGATGGAAGTTTGAAATAATTATTGAAGAAAAGATATTACCATTCAAAAATAAGTAGACTCTATTTAGCATACTAAGTACATAGTTTAACTTAAAAATGAACTTAAATGATTTTAAAGCATAGCCACTACATTATTATAGAACAGAACTACACATGTGAAATAATAATGTGAAAAATATACTTATTGAAGCCAAAAATATGGAACATTTTCAGAATCTTTTACTTCTTATTAATATAATAAGACCGCTTATAAAACTGTTTAGAGAGCTAAAACTATAGTTAAAAAGTCAATTAATAGTTGTAGATGTTTTACATATTATATGCAAAACTTTAATTGCAATAGTACTATTGATTCAAATAAAAAAGGATAGGCCGATTTTATTAACAAATAATTCGCCATAATAGTGATTGTATTCTTTTAACAACACAAAAATGAAATAGGTAAAATCACATTTCAGGACTTTCTGCTTATTTAACACAAGTATCATTCCATTTAGTGCTTGAAAAAAAAATAAAATAAAAATAAATACCTAGGTATTTGTAATGACGAAGATTAACCTAAATATAAACTATCGCATCCAAAAATAGTCTAATCAGTTTAAAATTTCATAATAAAACAATACTAGTAAAGCATTAAATGAATAAAGTTGAATCTATTCACCTTTTGCGAATTATAACACTTTTTAAACACTTGTCACATATTACACACCAAAATTTACGGAAAACTTAAGGCGGCCATATTTATTCCTCCCTACTGAGAATGGGAAGAATTTGATTAGTATTGGGTAGTAGTTATCGATGTCCTAAAAATATCGATTTGAAAGGGTTCTAAAAATTTGATTGAGACATATTTCTTTGTTTAAAGCAATAAGGTTTTTCTTAAGCAATAAGAATCGTTGACACACAAATTTAATTTTTAGTGTGAACAGTTATTAAAAAAGGCGAGTTATTAATTTCGTCAATTTATTGGTATTTTTGGTCACCCTATATATATAAAAAAGGTAATGGTGTGGATCCGGTGGCTGACCTTGAAACGAGTTTTTGCTGCATATAGTCACAGACACTACGCATGCGCACATCTTCGATGTTGCCAGATTGCAAGTTATTTTGGAATTATTTTCAGTAGAAAACAAATATGTGCTTTTCAGTGTTTTTTGTCAATATATACTGTATGATCGAAAAAACGGCGTCCAGTTGGCTGGGAAATGACGATTGAGGACATTTCCCAAGTAAAATGACAACGATCTTCATTTCATAGTCATCGCTGACGCTGTTTTTTTCAATCATAGTACGCCGGTATATTATTTATATTATTATTTTAATATTTCGCACAACACGTGAAACGTGAACGCTTATTATGTATTTTCATAGTCAATAAAATTAAATAGAAATAAAATTCTAGATTCCTATAATTAATCTAATTGCTCTAGATTATAATGCTATGTTTAAAAAGTGCTTTATTAAAAATTCGGGGCATTAAAAGGGATGTGTCCAAGTTTTTCCTTTTTTTTAATTTTTAACTGCTGTAGCTCCATGTCATGTTCCTAATAGGTTTTTTAACATTCCATCAAAACTATGGAGGCCTTAATTAAAATTGTAGAATCAGCTTCAGCAACATTTACAGTTACCTTGTTTAATTCTGCTTATACATATATTGCATTAATTTTTCTGCTACCTTAAGATTTCTTTACTCTTACACCTAATTTATGTGATTTTCTTAGCATAATATGATTTATAAACCATATTTTTCCTAATGGAAGGATGGAATAGGATATGTAAAATTAAGATATTTTAACATTTATTTTCCAGACAAAGAATAATATAGTATTAAGATTAAGACATAAAAAATTATAAGAAAGATCTTAATTTAAATCACAAACTAATTACAAACTAATCTTAATTTGGTCTTGTATAAACACAGCTGTAAAACTAATAAGATCAAAACTCAACCTTCACCATATTGTCAAGATTTGGCATTATAGGTAACAAGAAATTACAGTTAATTAAGAAAAAGAATATCAAAGTACACGATATTAAATGCTGTAATGTATTCTACGACACAAACCATCTCCCTTCTAAAGAGAAAAAGATAAAACATAAAGCTTATTCAGCTTATTTTAGTCTTATCAACACACTCTTCGATAAAATATATGTCTAAAATTGCTATTAATTCACTAACTTGATATTTTTAAGAAATTATGATACAAACATTATAATCAAAGTATATTATATTAGTAACATTATAGGTAAGATGTTACCTCTATCTCCCATTGACGTGTATTGTTCTATAAGACTCGTCATGGTAGTATTTCAAAACATCAATACATATAATCAAAACTATTGTTGCCTGTAAATAACTAGAAATTAGATAACTTGAAAGAAATAAAATAATTCTAATAAGTTTAAAACTATTAAGAAAAAATCCGTACATGATAATTTTTAATTCTAATGTAAATATATAAATAAATGTTATTATTATTAGAATTTTATATATTCATAATATTTTCATTTCACAATCTTCATTATCCTTCTTACCTTAATTTTGAATATCAAGATAAATCTGAAATGATAAAATTAATTATAGAATTTGTATTATTATCGATTAACAGCAATTAACAGTCAAAAAAAATTTTCAACTGCAAATAATTCCAAAATAAACTGCAATTTGGCAACATCGACGATGTGCGCTTGCGTAGTATCGATGATCAAATGCAGCAAATATTGGCTTCAAGGTCAGCCACCGGATCCACACCTTTACCATAAAAAATTAACTTTGTAAGAAAATATCAGAGATAAAATCAGAGAAAAATATCAAAACGAGGTAAAAACGAAAATATTAGTAAATTTCAAAACAAAAAAAAATAGCCAATCTTAATTTTTTCGCGTTTATTCATTTACACCCTGTATTTTATTCTATAGAACCTGAACATTCTTTATTCGATATAAATTTTCTAATATTGTAGTATATTGGAAACACTGTCCCTAGTCAGGGACTTTTAATTTAAAAAGTAGTGTTTGTTTGTGGTTTGTGTTGGTCACAATCAGTGTTGTTACAATAGGTACAATTGTACTATTTTGGGTACATTTGATAGTCAAGGAGTACATAGGTACAATTGCAAGAAAAAATGTACAATTCTTACTTCTCAAACCCAAACTAACCCAAACTTAAACCCACGTACATATTTTTAGACGAACGGTGATACGCGATGCGTGGATTTGAAATGCAGGTTGCTAGGAGCAGAGGCACAGAATTATACATCACTTGAAATACTGTTCAAGCCGCACGGATGTCAAACGTAAGTTTGACTTGTGTCTAGCCCTAGCAGGCAACTGTTAAGCCCGACCAATCACGTTAGAGTTTTTGACAAACACGAATGAATTAACACACTCCAAATAACCACGCTAACCAACCTGATTGGTCAAGCTTAATAGTTGACTGCTAGAACTAGACACTTCTGTAAGTTTGATATCCATGCGGTGAGTAGGAGGGGGGCTAATCACTGCGACCTTAGAGATCTATTGTGTCCCGATGTCAAACGTGACGTCACGCAATTAGTTCCCATTTAACCAATGCTATTCAAAGCTCTTTGTAGCTTCTGTATTACTGTCCTCCATTTGCGAATTTCAAGTTCCAGAGCTTTACGCCCTGGGCTGCTCAGAACGGTTCTGAAAGAAGCTGTGCGAGATAGCCTGGTGCTTCCATATGGCGCGGAGCCAGTTCTGAATATGACTCAATTGAATGGAGGGAGAGTACCGCGTTCTTGAACAGTTCAGAGCTGCTCAACTGCGTGAAAGGAGGACAGCATATGGTGTATAATTCTGTGAGGGTGCATCCACATTATCCTAAAAAAAGCGGATCGGCGGCGGTGTATCGGCGTAACGACCTTCGCAGCAATTCTATTGGCTGAAAAATTCATCTGTCAGAAATTTTATCTGTTAAATTTACCTGGCAAAAATTTCAGCCAATAGAATTGCAGGAAATCGATTCAAGGTCGTTAAGTCAATACGCCGTTCCGCTGTTTTTAGGATAGTGTGGATGTACCCTACGTACCAAAACTTGGTAAAAAGGTAAATAGAGAGATCACATGACCCCACATTTTTGCACCAAAAATGTACAATCCCACTTAAAAAAGTACAATTTCGACACCATTTATAGTACAAAAATTTTTGCCCTTGTAACAACGCTGGTCACAATGGTAATCTGTCATTTAAGTCATTTCCGTCGTACGCAAAGAAGTTTTTGACTTGATTGTGCACAAAATTTAATGTCTTTATAAACAGTTCATTAACTTGTAGTATATTTATAAGTTTTGTAGGAAAAGAGTGTTTTATAAGCATTTCTCACTTTAATAAGCTATCGCAATTATAAATTTTAAATTATTTGTGGTATCGATATAAGAACGCCGTCGCTACTGAATCAAATTGTGCTAACAGATAGTTTTTTTAAAGGTAATATTTTAGGGGGACCAAAATTAAGATATTTTTCTTTTATTCGACGAGTACATGCCGCCAAGACTATTTAGAATATAATATTAATTTAATATTTTATTTCAGGTATGTTTATTTTTGAAAATTCTAATGGTGCTGAAAGAGAAGAAGAGTAAAATGTCTTCAGATCAACCGCTAAAGAAGAAACCAAAACGTGGGGATGTAGCAAGCGGCATAGACGAAACCGATCTGATTCAAAGTTTATCAGAAAATGGGGTGCAGACAAACTTACAAGCTCTTCATCTTTCAGTGCCACTTATTGTGAATGAAGACGATATAACATTGAATACTGTTAACATTCAGTATAATAAAAGACGGTTTATAGTGAACAGTGACAGTGAGCTGGAAAAGAGTGTTAGTGAATCTGATCAAAATGATAGCGAGCTTGCTTCTTCAACAAGTACACAGTCGAATATATCAATACCTAACATTAGTAGTAATTATCAGTCAATAATGCAATATTCTGACAGTAGCCAGGTTAGTTCTCCCAATGATAATACCTTAGATACCTTTCAACAACAACTTGTAAAACAGTGTTTATGTGGTACTTCAGAAACAATTTTACTCAAGCACTTATCAACTAATAATGCTAACGAAACAAATATAGTCTTATTAGAATGGTCTGATGTTGAAATTTTACAATTCTTGTCCAATCTTCAACTGCTTTTTGATGTATACTTAAAACAAAATAACAAAGGTTTCATATGTTCTAGAATAATTGCTAATTGCGAACTTATTATTTATAATAGTTATAATTTAATAGAGCAAATTATTGGTTTATGTGACACTAGAAATAAATATATTTTATATTTGGCGGCTAGAGTGTTAAGCAGTTTTCTAGTGGCAGCTAAAACTAATATTAATAATGAATGGCTTGAAACGATTTTAAATTATTTAACAGATGAAAATATAGATTGCGCTAAGGTGAATTTTGCTTTAGATGTAATAAAGCGGGTGGTCGAATGGAAAGATATTGAGATACATGTACTTGAAGAAAGTGAATCTGTAGAAAGTGCCGAATCAAGTTCTTTGAATACAGGTTGTGTTAGTGTGCCATTTAGAGATCCCGAAAGTTTTGATACTTCTCCTATTAAAGGATTGATTATAAAGAGTTTAGAATCTAGATGGCCAGATTTAATTCATAAAATACAAAACTTTATAGTCAGTAACACATCGGTAGGTGTTCAAACATGTGTTTTAACATTTTTAACTCTTTGGGAACGCATCATTTCTGTAAGGGCAAATTTAAGTGTTATTGATATTAAACCATTTTATGCTCATCTGGAAACATTTGCAGCAATGCTAAATAGTGATCTTCCACCACTTATTTGGCGTCATTTGTTGTCTTTGTTCAATGAAGTTTTGTGCTATGGAAGTACTTTAGCATTACAAGATATGGTTCCAGATGAGACATGTCAATTAGCTCATTTAGTTTTTAGATATATTAAGGATTATAGATTATTAGATAGTTTGCCTTATAAACAAGAACCAGGTAATGTTGTGAATAATTTTGTCGGTTCTATTCCATCAGAATCTTTACAATCAAATTTTGATAAAACTTTATTGCAAAAAATTGTTCTTCTGGTATTAAAATCTATAGCGGTAACGATAAAAGAGACTAGATCTGATAGTTCTGATTCAAGTGTAGGATCAGATGATTATGATTTTTATCAAGACATGCAAGTCATTGAACGTTCAATAAGAGATGTTTTGAAAAAAGTAGATACATTTATTAAAACTGCCTTAGATTTTCATCCTGAAATGCCATTTTGTAAAGTTATAGTACATCTCTTTAATGACCAAGATAATTACCTCATTGAATCGATGGTTTGCACTCTTGACATAACGGTTGGTATCTCCTATGGAAATGTTGTGTTTTCTGATTTATTAGTTATGTTAAATCCTATCCATTCTTTTATTGAATTTTTAAAGATTGTTAGCCATGATTCTGATATATTATTAGATTATTTAGTTGGTAGTGAAACATGCTTTTTATTATATCTCTTAAGATTTTTAAAATATACAAGGAGAAACTGGTCTAAATTTGTTAGCAGTTGTGGCGAAGGATCCACATCTCGTAGTAATGAGTTGGATGACAGTATGGCAGTATTAATTCGACTAAAAATGCAGATTAATAGGCTAGTATCCAGAGATCTTTTCCCCTACAACATTAATCCAATATTAAGACTTCTGACTGATTGTGAGAATCTCTATGATGGTAATGAATATAGTTAATTTCTTACCAATTTGTGATACGATCACCTATAAAAGTTTATATTATAAAATGTCTTTACCTCAAATATGAGTTTTAAAGGTTTTTTTTATTATCACTTATACTTAAATACTTTAATTGGAATAAAAAATGTTTCTATAGTTGTTAGACAAATTCTCAATAATACATTGTAAGTTTTAGTTATATACACACTGTACTATATTAACTATATTGATAACTATAAATAATAAAACTAATGTATTAATCATACTCTATAATATAAGCCATATAAAAACTTAACAAAAATACATACTTATTTTCTAGTATGTCTTAATCTTTCTAGTATGTATTTATTTATTCACATTTAAGTCACTGCCAGTTACTGAAAAAAAAATATTGTAAATTTAAATGTACATATATACTTCTGTTTCTCGAAAATCTGAAGATTTCCATTATAGCTATTGTTATGTCTGTACCTAAAAAGATCTATAAAGTTATAAGATTTTTTTAATAGGCACAATATTTATTTTATAAAAGTTATCAAAATTCTAGTTATACAATGTAAACAGATTGGTTAGAAGATGGTGAAGTTCATTTTCAGCAGAAATATTTATATAAACAGACAGTGTTTAAAGTGTTTTTTTCTGATGTAAAGGATATCAGTCAAAAAATAAAGGGATACTCATACATTTTTTTATAAAAAAAATAATTTAATAAACTTCATTACATGATGGAGTATTTTAATATGGAAAAATGTTTGATTAGTTCAGGTTAGTTGTGTTCTTCATAATGTGACAAACAGGATTTTTTTTTTATTTTATAGGAGTTTCCTATTATCACTCTGTATATCTCAAATTTTTACCTTTATGGTTTATTATAATTTCTACAACTAAAATCCAACCAATCTGTATACTAAAATACCCTGTTAATGTAAATGCAGCCTTATATAATTATAAGGCTGCTAAGTTATATTTAATATTTTTCCATATTGTACATACTATGTATTGATATGCATATTTTTTACATAGCTGTTAGCAGGTACTTGTATATATTAAATTATTTTTTGTAATGTACATACATGTCAATACAATTATATTTAATTAAAAGTAAGTTTTCTACAAATCATATGCATTTTTAATTATCACCCCCAGCATGTACAGGGTGGGTCAAATTGGACGCTTTTAAAGGGAAACACCCTTTTCTATAGGAGATAGACGAAAACTAATATCGGTGTCTGAAGCTCAATTTTTATCAAAATCATGATAGTAAAAACCGCACATCGATATCTGTTGCCGTTTCGGTTAAGGGGTGTTTTTCAAAACTGTGCATTTTGAACATATCGCTCTAACTTTTTTGCTATGGAAAATTTTGTATTTTTATGAAAACATTTCTAAAGCACCTTTTTACGTAGAATTTAATGGTTTGAGTGTAATTTTATTAAAATTAATAATCTAAGAGTTATCAACAGACAAACTAATTTTTTATTTGGGACACCCTGTATATTTTTAATTAACTGAAAAGGACCTAGAATTACCTTTTCAGAAATATAGCATAGATATTTTGCTCGAATCCTTTTCGAAATATAGAGTTTTTAAAAGTTCGCCATTTTTAACTAATAGGCTTTGTACTAATGGAATTCGAAAACATATTTTCCAGCAAGACGGGATACCGCTTCAGAACGCTGGAGTTATCAGCAAATTTTGCAGCCAAACCAAACCAATTTCGAGAATAATTGAATAGCTAACCAAGATCCCAGCCGTTGGCCGTCACGGAAGCCGAGGCCGCCGGACTTAGCGCCTATGGATTTTATAGGAAGAATAAGGTTCTTATTTTTAAATTGTCCGTAATCTAGATAAGAATTAGAAGTACTTAGCGGTTATGCGAGGGTATTTTTCACCCCCACTGAGTTAATGAATTCCGCGATAAATGTTCAAGAACGGTCGTCCGTCTGTCATAACAGAAGACGGTCGACATGTTCATCACCTGTAGAAAAATCTTATGTCTTGGTTTGCTATTTATTTTTATTGTTATTAGATATAGAATGTTTAAATGTGTCGATGTTGTTTAATATAGTTTAAATTGTTATAAAATTTTGCATCTCTCATTGCAAATATTATTTTCGTTTTAATTGCTGCTCACAGCTAGACTTTTTTTGCATTACAACCGGCGCCATTCAAACCCTACTTATTCAAAGTGGGCGATTTTTAAAAACTATATATCTTGAAGAGGAATCGAGCAAAATATCAAGTATGCTATATTTATGGAACAGTAATTTTAAATTATTTTCAATTAAGGAAAGAGTGGTCAAAAATGTACTTAACCAAAACTTGAAAGAAGCAAAGAAAAAAGGGTTAAGAGCTTACATTAAAAAAGAAGTCCTTGTGATAGGGGACGAAAGTTACAATTACGAGCAACTGGTGGAGAGGGGAAATATAGGTAACGAATCAGATAGCGAAGTGTTCACCGATACTCCAACTAGACCATCTCTAAGTGCTCCGGGTACACCCATTAGTAAACTACCTGTTCAGCCTATTGGTATAGATCGTCACAAGCAAGAAACATACCATTCCGTACCAGAAGCTAAACCGACCAATACTTTTGAATTTACTATTGCTCCAAAAACATCTACTGCGCAAGTGCGCAGGGGATCACATAGCCATATAACAACATCACTACAGTCAACAAGCAAAGGACAAAGACTGACAAAGACCAACAACCAGAAGTCACACGAAGCCGGTATAATAATCATATATCATCAAGGATAAAAAGACAATGCTTGTGCGCGCGAACAAAGTCTATCTCATATTTATACGAGTAGTACATTGGTGCGCCCGTCTGTGCTCGGCTATGTTCTCATGTTTTTTTGCAAACTTTTAAAATTTTATAACGGTTTTATCTTTAATCTGATTGATATAAGCATATTCGCGATTTACTTACTATGTGCAATTAAGACTTTTACTTAGAAAATTTAATATGTTGTTTCTTATTATTATTTATTAAATTATATGTTCATTAAGACAGTATATTATGTCTATAAGAATGTATAGTAGTTAGATTATCGTGTATTTTCTAGTATAGTGCATTATATATTACAATCAGGTTTGACTCATCTAAAAAAAATACTGATATTTCTGATTAATTATATTATAATGATATATTTTCGTTCTTATATTTATTACTTGTTCTAGTATTAAAAATATTGTTAGTGTATTGTAAAACAAAGACTATATATTTCATCTCTTATTTGTTTTGTAAACCGTAGGTGTTTTGATATGGGACAGATTGTAGGTTAAATATTTAAAAGCATATTATATAAAATTGAGTGAATTCATATTATTCGGGACTACCTCTGTGTGGTGAAGGTTGATTTATATTAGGATACTGAACAGTGGTACTAATAAAATATTATGTTCGTTGAATGCTTAACAAAATACTGGATATAGGTGATAAAAAGGCATTGAAAGTTGATAAGTAATTGTTCATAGAAATTTTGAATTGTGCCTAATTATTACTTAAAAAAGGGAAGGGAGGCTTGATATGTAATAACCGAAATAGATCAACTTATACTTAGCAGAATGTGATACATAGAAACTTATATATAAGCAATAATAATATTAAAAATAAAATATTATGTAATTTTAGAACGTGCCATCTGCCCTATGTCTTAATTATTTATGCGGTATAAGGTGCTTTTTATAGGGTTTTTTTGCGTGCATTAGTGTGGATGTGAAATAATTAATTTTATACTTTTAGATATTATTTTAGAATTATGGATATAATAACTTTGTACTTATTATTGTAGTAATGAAACCTCAGACAAGGATTTACCTTAAGAGGATTCTATGTTTATTTTCTATTGGATATGAAGTGTTATATACTTTGTAATTGATTATTTTGAATAAACATTTTTTATTATTATTATTATTATTAATTAAAAATATACAGGGTGTCCCATATAAAAAAATTAATTTTCTGTTGATAATTATTAATTAAAAAAAATATACTAAAACCAGAGCTTAAACCATTAAATGTTACGTAAAAAGGTGCTTTGGAAATGTTTTTATAAAAATACAAAAAAAATTCTATAGCAAAAAAGTTACAGCGATATTGTTAAGTGCATATTTTTTAAAACTACCTCGTAACTCCGAAACGGTAACAGATATCGATGTGCGGTTTTCATCATCTTGTTTTTGATAAAAATTGAGCGTCAGACAGCAATATTAGTTTTCTTCTATCTCCTATAGAAAAGGCCGGGTGTATCCCTTTAAAAACGTCCATATATTCTTATATATAATATAAGATATATTCTTATATATCCGAAATACAGCATTTTTATAAGTTCGCCACTTTTAACTAGTAGGCTTTGAAACCCTTATTGATGATCTGCCCCTAATGGAACAGAACGCTGAGGTTATCAGCAAATTTTTGCAGCCAATTTCGAGAATAATTGAATAACTAACCAAGATTCCAGCCGTTGGACGTCGAGGCCGCCGGACTTAGTGCCTGTTATCCTTAGTTGATTTTTTATCTTTCGGAAGAATAAAGGTTCTTATTTTAAAATTGCTCGTATAATCTAAACAAGAATTATAATATTCAGATGGGTCTTTGTGAGCTCGGCGTGAGCGAAAATAATGACGTCATTAGTGACGTTTTCGCCGCGATCGTCATGTGGAACGACCGAAGGCATATTTTGAGCATTATGAGCGCCACACTGAGCGCTTAGTGGAACGCACTCTTAAAAGTCCCGTTCTCAGAACTGCGACACTTCAAAAGCACCAATGACATTTGTACAAAATTCAAACAACTGTCAATTTTAAATTTAGTACAGTTCTCATTGGTTGTTTGAAATGTCAAACTGCGTCGTGTCGCTGGCTACACAGTTTGACATTTCAAACAACCAATGAGAGCTGTACTAAATTTAAAATTGACAGCTGTTTGAATTTTGTACAAATCTCATTGGTCCTTTTGACGTGTCGCCCGCGACACGACGTCGTTCTGAGAACGGGGCTTAAGGCGCGCAACGCGCAACCGCTCCCCTCCGTATCACAAAACATCCCCCTTTAGAACTTTTTCTTTAATGGCCATAAGCGGGAGTAAAAGCCCAACTGCCCGAACAAACACTAGAGGCGCCACCGGTCATCAAATGGTGTAAAAATTGCGAAAATTTAATCATCTAATTTTGACACAAGGGGTCGCGCTTAACTTTTTCAATTTTAATTAAATATTCATTGTTTTCAAACTATATTATTACACTTTTTTGTTGTTTTTGTGAATGTATAAATGTTTTCTTAGTATAAAGTTGCATTATAGTCATTTAAATTATATTACATACATATTTAAGATTCGAATATTATGATATATATGTCAGTTGCCGTCTAAAATGTCATCTTGATAACAAAAAGTTAGTTATTGTCAAAAGTAGTCAAAATCATGTTAAACTATTAAAATTTACAAGTTATATTTAGATATTTTATATTATTTCAACAACAAACACATAATAGTACAGCGTAATGTTGATATGCAGGTCCAAAACAAAAAGTGCCGTTATATTTTTCAGTTTTCGTTGTCAGCCGCGGAAGTTTCAGTGATTTTAGTGTATTTTGCTATAGCAGATTTAATGTTTAGATTATAAAATTTCAATTTATAAGTTTTGCTTTTAGCGCTATATTCCCGCCATTTAATGAATAGTACGCGCTGCTCAACTAGATGGCGCCACTATGTAGCGTCAAAAAATTAACACGTAGATTCCTTTCTTATCCGTTAGGTTATTTTCTATGGTCGCAGTGGGTCAGGCCGAGATCAACCTCTAGAGATCTAATCTAGAACAAAACAAAGACCTTACTTGCATACTACCATACATATCTTTTAATAAAATATTTAGTGTAGTTTAGTTTTCAACATTTTGCAGCAAGAAGTTTAGATAAATCTACAATATATTATCATCACACCAAACGAAGAATAATTATTTAAAAGAATAAGTTATGTTATGATACATATATAGATTTGGATGACATCGCTTCAGGTGGTTTCACCAGTCAGGACTAACAGGGATATTAATCAAAACAATGAAAAAAAGC